ACAAAGGCCACATAGCACATGATTCTATTTAGTACAAAAGGATTAGCAAAGGTTATTCAGGCAATTCATTTCCCAATGACTAGGTTTTTCACAATGTTTGCAATTTTCCAATGTGATTATTTTGTGGGCAGACAGTATCTGTATTGTTCTAAGGTCTGAAGGTTTGGTTTCTAGCTCTTAGGCAATGTTTATGGTACCCACAAATTTACCTGTTTTCTTTCCCCCTCAAGATCCTTCTACAGAAAATGATGTGAAAGTGGGAAAAGATTCAGTAACTTTTAATGTAATGACTTCACATTCACATTTTATTAAAATCTAGATAGTTTACAATTCTGTAAAACCTATGACAAAGCTGACAGTATGAATTGCTTTTAACTGGTAGGAAATATAACCTTTAAGATGTTAGTTTAGCTGGGTGCCAGTGGCTCATGGCTGTAATCCTAGCTACTCAGGAGGCTGAGATCTGAATATTACCATTCAGAGCCAGCCTGGGCAAGAAAGTCGGTGAGACTCTTATCTCCAATGAACCACCAGAAAATCTGAAGTGGCGCTGTGGCTTAAAGTGGTAGAGCTTTAGCCTTGAGCAAAAAAGCTCAGAAACTGAGCCTATACCCTGAGTTCAAGCCCCATGACTGACCCCTCCCCCCCGCAAATAATCTAGTTTATCACCTTATAGAACATGTGCCAATTTGTCATCTGACATAACCAGTCTATTTCAACATTCTTTCTTCCAATAATTATATAATTTTCTGTTTCAAATGGCTTATTTTTGAATCAGTTTTATCATTGTATTTTTTTCCAAATCAAGTCTGTTCTGTTTTCGTGTGTGTGTGTGTGTGTGTGTGTGTTAGTATTGGGGCTTGAACTCAAGGCCTTGTGTTCTTGCTTCGCTTTTCCCCCTCAAAGCTGGTGACCGCTTTACCACTTGAGGCACACCTCCACTTCTTGTTTTTTTTTTTTTTTACATGAATGAATAAAATGAACTTTGACACATGTTAATGTCAGATTTTTTAATTATGTTTTTTATTATCTTTAAGTAGCTGTACAAAGAGGTTACAATTCACCATGCCAGGATATGAGTAAAATCCATCCTTATCCATATCCACCCTGTCATGTAACCTTTTTTTGCAGGAAATACTAGAAAATAAACTTAGGGCCTTGTACAGGCTAAGGAAGCATTCTACCACTTGAGCTTTGGCTCTGGCCAAGAACTGAGGTTTTGTTTTCTTTTAAAATAAAATTTTGAAGATTGTGGTAGCATAAAGATAATTTTAAGCAGGTTAGAAAAATGTTAAGAGTTTATCAGGCACTTGCATTTGGAATGAATTTTTCCCCCTCTTACTATAATCTTCCTAATGTCATCTAGGTGAGGGACAAGGGCTGCTATTTCCTGTGACACATAAGGTTGGGGTTTAGGTTTTGGAAACTGTTACAGATCCCTGAAAAGACTTCTTCCTGTTTTTGTTTTCCCCCTAATTTCCTTAAAGGTCTTTCCACATGTCCTCCATATGTTTGGGGGAACCAATAGAAGACTTTGTCTTTCTTTTCTTAGCTAATTTTCCCATGATGCAATGCTTCTACCCTGTCAGGAATGGGAGGAACTGCCTACACTTTTCTCTTGAGGGTGCTTTGGGATTTGATAGTTCTAAGCCTCACTATGATAAAGCTGTGATTTGGAAACATTTCTGGCATGCCAGTTTCTTCTCTTGGGGACCCTAAGAGTTAAACAGGCACTGAGCAATAATGAGCTATCTGCTTTATGATCACTGTACTGGGAAACTCTCTTAGAAAGTCTGTGTCCCATAGGAATGAAAAATCATAGCACACACGGGGGGGGGGGGGGTGTGGAGTTGGGTGGATAAAGTCAGCGTGTGATCCCTTTCTGAGATGATAAAACACTTTTGTGAAAAGAAAAATCTGCTTACAGCTGGAGTTTTACCATGGAACTCTTAGTAGTAGAGGGAAAATAAGGAGAGAGAAACCATGACATTAAGGGTCTTATTCTATGTGTGCTTGACCCTGTACTTTGTTGCTCCTGATACCATAAACTATTTTGAACTGCACTAAGACTAGGTCTATAACCTCAGAATATCTTGGAGTACGGTTAGAAGTCTGGGCACAGAGTATTGGGCTGGCTGCTGGTATCATCACTGATCAAGGGTTAGCTGGGCTGCACCAAATGTTGCTCATTCTTCTGAACCCCAGGGGCTTCTTTCAGGCTTACTTTTGACAGAATCAGTTCCTTGCAGTTGTATGACTTCCTTCCTTCTTCTCCTCCTTTTCCTCCTCCTTCTTCTTTCCCTCCCTTCCTTGACTGCCCAGTAGGTCTTAAGGTTCTGAGCTAAAGCTACCCTGCAGCCTCAGCCTCCTGAGTAGCTAGGAGGACAGGCTCATGTTCCAAGCCTGTACCCAAGAGGTGATTTTCTATCTCTGTGAATCTCTAACCTGACTTTCTTTCTGATGGTCTCTTTTACAGGGTCATCTGATTGGTCAGGCAAAAATCTCCCTTTTATAAATGCAAAGTGAATCTGAATTACAAAGTGAATTTGAATTAAAGTCTCTTTATCTTTGCCATTGAATTCAACTTCACTTAGGGCAGACACAGCATTATAGTCACCAGTCCCATCCTCACTCAAAGGAAAATTATCTAGGCAATGCTCAGTAGTTGGGGAGATTTATTTTTTTGTAGCCAGTACTGGGGCTTGAACTTAGGGTCTCATGCTCTAATTTAGCTTTTAACCTCAAGGCTATGTTCTACCACTTGAGCCACACTGTCACTTCTAGCTTCTTCTTCTCCTCCTCCTCCTTCTTCTTTTTGCTGGCTAATTGATGGTAAGAGTCTTTCTGACTTGTCTGTCGGAGCTAGCTTCAAACCTCAATCCTCAGAGCTCAACATCCTTAGTATCTAGAATTACAGGTGTGAGCTACAGATGGCAAGTTTGGGGAAAGAAATCTTAAGAGTCATCTTAGAATTCTGCCTTCACAGAAAGTGAAAGAAGAGAGTCAAATAAAATGAATCTGCTAGTCAGCTTTCTGTCACTATAACCAATACCTGAAATAAATCAATTGGTAAAGAGGCAAAGGTTATTTTGGCTTACTCATAACTGGTTGGCACATTGGTCTAGGAGAGCAATCCAACATGATGGGAGCATGTGGCAAAGCCAAACAATGTATCCCATCACTTGGAAATGTAAGAGAGGAAGGGGATGGGGTTGGGGTCCCATCACTGTCTCCTTCAATCCTTCAAGAACATGCCCCCAGTGACCTCAGGGTCTTCCACCTCTTAAAAGTTGCACATCCTCCTACTTGCACTGCTCAGAGGACCAAGGCTTTACCACACGTGCATTTAGGGGGCATTCCAGATGCAAACTACAGCAAGGAGAGAAGAAAATTTCAGGCATTGCCTGAGCGACCCCTTGTGTCTTTTTTTTCTTTCTTTCTTTTTTTGGTCTAGAAATTCAGTTGAAAGAAAACAGAGAAGCCACATTTTGAGAGGTCAAATTGGAAGTCTTTCTTGCAGAGCTGGTGACTGCAGGTGGACTCCTGTTTCAAAGACCTACAACCCAGAATCAAGCTTGAACAAAGCGTGTAAAGACAAAACCCACATGTTGGGGGTCCAGGTCCAAATCCAAAAGAAACAGACCATATAGGGAAATGCTCAGGTACCAGCAGAACTTTCTGTCTAGGGAAGTAGCTAAGGGGTCAGCTTAAATTTTCCATTTGGTGGGGAGGAGGAAGGGGATACACCTCAAACTTTTCATACAAGGGGATACTTAGAGGCAAGCGAGTCAAACCATTTAGGGAAATAATCAAGGAAGAGCATTTTCCTTAGCAAAAGTTCTAAGGCTGAACAGCATGGCACCTGTAATTCAATGAATGGCCTCTCTTACCTCAAGCTTTTTCAGGATGGGTGTGAGAACAAGGCCATGTTACTTAGACACAGTCTCCTTATTTCACTTTAATGTGGCTAGAAATAGAGGGTGGAAAGAGATGAGATCAGAGAGGTCTAAAGTACGCTGGAGTGTTCATGGCTTTGTGGGACTATTATTTCCCAACCTTTTGTAATGAACACTTTCAAAATATAAACATAAATTTAAAAACCTAATTTAAATTATCAGTAGGTAATTTTAGAGCATCCCAGAAATCCAATTTCTAAACAAATAAGATATATTTGAGGTTGTGACTAGTACCTATTATTTTCAGACTGTTTAAAAGAAAGGGGGGGAGGGAGAAGCAAGTTTCCTTTTTTACATTTTTTAAGATTATTATTATCTTTAAGTAGTTGTACAAAGAAGTTCCTATTCTACAACACAGTATATGAATACAAGGTGTCTCCCAACATCGTCCCCCATCAGAGAAGCAAAGTTCTTTGTGGAGATTGTATAGACAGGTCTTCCTAGTAAAAGCCTCCAGGATATCAAAGATTACAAGCTCAAAACAAATCCTCTAGTCTCGGCCAGTCTCTGCGGGGTTGTTGAACAACTCCGAGCCAGTGGGAGGCGCTCGATGACAAGTAAAAGGGCCTAGGGCCTGGGAGAACGGAGCCGAGACGGGAGGGAGCCGACACCAGCCTTCCACCGCTGTGAGACCGACGGTGTTTGCTCAGGTCGGCGTTTTTGAACCGCTATGGGACCACGTGGCTTCCAGCCCGCAACGCCATTGGCTCGCAGCTCATTCCAGGCTTTGGCGCCCAATTTGCCGTCCACCTTGTGGACGCTACCATCTTCCTGCACCATGGAGGGAGTGTATCCTAGCCTCGCGGTCAATACGTTTCCAAATGAGCCTTCCAACTGATTACCAGAAAAAACAGTAAGCTAGGAGCGTAACAATTAGACGCTCCCCACCGTAGAGTGCGCCACGGTCCTGACGCTGCCGAAAATAAAGAACAGGCTGGGGATGGCCTCCCCTACGTTCTGCGGGGCTTTGGAGTGGTTTCGTCCAAGAGGCGGGCTCCGCCCCCCGGCGCGCCGCCATCTTGTTTGGCTGGAAGGGGAGCGCGCGGTGCCTTGTGGGAGGGGTCTCTCCGGCGCTTCCCCCCACCCGGTCCGCCGGGCTGTTGCTGCGCGGCCTCCCCCGGCTCGGGGCGCGGAGCCATGTACATAAAGCAGGTGAGGCCTGGCCCGTGCTTCTCGGGAGGTGACGGCCGGTCCCCGAGGCGGAGGGGTTGGCGCTGGGAGGGGGCTCGATCCGCGGCCCCTGCCCCTCCCCGCGGGGCGGGCTGGGGCTCCCGGGGGAGGGGTCTCCCCTGGCTGCGCGCTCACCGACGGCCCCCGGAATCGGGGTGCTGCTCTGCAGCCCGGGCGGGAGGCGGGGTCCCCGACGGT